TAAACACTTCAGATACTTCAGTCCACTACCTCACGCACAACATCCTGAGCGAGGCATCCCAACACTTACAGCCACCTCCAGGAAACCTCACGGCATCAGTGGCACGGACACCAGCTGATGGAAGCTTCAGCCGGACAGGCCACCTATCCCACCGCACCCCACCGCCCTCCCGGCCGACAGCAGCACGCCCGCGCCGCCGCCGCCGCGCGCGCGCACCTGCTGTCGGCCGTGCGCCGTGGGCAGCTCCCAGAGCGACTCGTTGGTGCGGTGGTTCCAGAAGTAGTGGCGGTTCTCGCGGCGCGACCAGAGCCGCCGCCAGCCGTCGGCCACCAGCTCGGCGGGCAGGTCCGTGTCGCCGGGGATGGGCAGCGGCGGCGGCGCGGCGCTCACGGGAGTGCTCGGACCGGCGACGCCGACCGCCGACGGCAGCGGCGAGCCGGCGGCGGCCGGCGACGCCGCCGCGCCCGGCTCCCAGCCGGCCGGCGGCCCGCTCGAGTTCATCGCTGCCCAACCTGGGGGCAGGAGACGCCATGGGGTGAGGAGATAGCAGGCAGAGACATAGGGAGATCAGAAGTCATGGTGAGGGACCTGGGATGGAACAAGTGTTAAAAAAGTGAGGCAGTTACAGGAAATCAGTGGCTCAGGTGTAGGTGAGATATTTGTGTGGAGCACACATGCATATAGTTTTCCACTACCTTGGCACCCCGCTTGTTAACTGAGGTAATGTTTTCAAACCTTTTGGGCAGTATCTGCACACATTTAGCAGCATGGATAAGGCCACCTGGTGAAGTCATAACTAGTAAAGCCATGTGCAGCAAACAGAAATAAAGGTGGTAACTTTTGTTTGTATCACTGCATTTTCATGCGACTACATATCTTAACAAATTGCATAGAATGTTGATAGGAAAATGCCTACACACACAGCTACCACAAGGAAATACAGAGCAGTTGTTAATACCAATTGAATATGTTTGGTTCAAGAAAACTTACTGGGTTTGAAACCTTGAATTCATACTAGCATAACATTCACATTAAAAAAGCACAATATATTATAGCATCATGCTAAAAATATCTTAAAAACAACAATACTACAGTAATGTGATGCCTCTAAATCATGTTTAGCTTTTCAGTGGTGGCAGGAAAAAGCAGGGACAAAACATGGTCACTATGATCAATATGCCATCCTGTGCCTTGTTATCACTTTTCTATATTGTTCAGTAACCATACAGGGAGCAGTCCTGCAAGCAATATTCAGCTATGAAAACCATCAACTTAATATCTTTAACACAGTTAACTGAAGCAAACTGGCAGAGCCACTGAGATATATCATGCATAAATGTCTCTTTAGAATCATGACACACCTTGAATGCCAGCTTAAGTTTGATGGACAGTGATGTATGATTGAACCTATTGAACCTAACATTTCAAACTGAAAATGCAAGTTATACATCCTTACATAGAATCAGACCTATACTCATTTACTGCACAAGTACATATGCATGCTTTGTGATCATTTTTCCCTCTCTTGTTTACCTCATCATGCATCACCCTGCAGACAGTACCAACAGTGTTCAAAAATGAAAGATTTGGGGGATCCGATTCAATGAATCAAGGGTCCACCACACTCAGCTGATGGCAAAACAACCCTGATATAATTGATGCAGCTCAATCAACTGATATTGACTATACAAATATGGCCAATCCAGTGTGGCTGGCAATAATATCCCTGAGCTGGCCACAATCAGCTATATATGGGCAAAACGATAGCATCAGTGACTCAAATCTTCCCTGGCGCACTTTACCATGAAACTAAAGAATATGAACACGCAAGATTATCAGATAACGGCATTTTAAAATTTCACACGCACGATCCTCAACGGCCCAACTCGTACCGGGTTTTCAAACACATATAACAGGATGTGTGGCGACATGAAGGACCATACAACACATTTTACAAGTTCAATGCATCCTATTATGCACAAAGTTCAAAAGAAATTCAACAATGAAAGGTAGGATTTTCGAGCACACCTTATTTTGCACGAGACGCGGCCAGACGTAGCCCACAGCGCACCGACGCCATTTGCCTCTGACGATCGTGATCGTTATTTTGGTCACGTGACCGCTACAATGTACGGTATATCTTCTCTGCTGTTGAGTGCATCTTCTGTGGACGGACATTTGATTGAGATGTATGCAATGACATAATTCTTTCACATCAAAATCGATAAAATATTAAAAACTAGCATTCTAACGTACGCTGGTACCAACGGTATGAAAATTTCCCCAAGATACTATTCCAACCACGTAACCAGGCAAAAGGTTGTGGCTGCCTGGACGGCAGCTGAAAGTATACGATGAGGTACGGAATATGCAGTAAAAATTGATGAGCTGATCATTTGGTGCCGTTAAAAGACATAAATAGATCAGTCAGCATTAGAACGCTCTTCGGGATCAAGGAGGTCCTTTAACTCTAATAAATCAGCTGACGCACAAATGAATATTTGTGCAGCAGCTTGTCCCGAGACGAAGAACCTGTTCGAAGCAAAGAAGTAGCAGAGCAGTTTTACGTGTTAGCTTTTTGATTGGTGAGTTTTCTCCCATCTAGAACCGGATTGGTGAAAACAGAGATCTCTACGAGTGGTTTGCTATTTTCGATACAGATCTGGGTGTCAGCGTTCTCAATCTGCGCCGCTTTCCGAAGACGGTCTTTCTAGGCACTCAAGTGAAGGGGGTGAGGCCAACATTCTTATTCCCTTCATACATTTGATTCGCCGGTGCATCCACCGAAGGTAGGTAGGAAATACGTGCAAACTGTGTTTTTTTAGGTGCGGGGGTGGCAACTTAGCGTGATGAAAGTCATTTAGGAGGGTGTCCTACCAAAGCCGTGGAGCACTGTAGCTGTGTAAATTTGCAATGCATTGATTTTGATCCTGATGTAGATTTCATCAAACTGTTGTGCGTGGTTGTTATATAGGAAAGTACTTGAAATTCGGATCTGGGTCGGGTATACATATGGATCATGGGTTCAGTTAAATGTCATATGAGAAGAAAATGAATTTCCTTATTTTGGGAGTGGTAAGCCAGACTGCGAAACTACACATATGATGACGATTGTCTGGAGCAGGCCATGTGGGACTCACGAGTTTCAGAGCTTCACACCATCAGTTTGATGTGCGCATGTTTGGCACTTGATCACCACTGATTTTGGTGTCCAGGAGAGCCCATGTTCAAGAAATTATGTTGTAACTTTTTGACAAAAAGCTTAAACTGTTTTTCAGGCATAGATAAGCCAGCAATTTAGCTCAGTTTGGCCTAGGATTATTCAAGTGTATGCGTGATCCAGGCTTAGCACATAAATTTTGTGTGCACATGAGGTGCAGTAGGTGGAATCTTTGGAGATTATATATATATATATATATATATATATATATATATATATATATATTGTGTTCAAGCAGTGTTGGTTTTGTGTGTAGCTCATCTTCAATGGACCAGGATGGGCCAGCCACTATGCAGTTTATAGATATTTAGCAGCTTACCATAGTACACAGAGCATTAGTATCTTTCCACTGCAAGGTGCTGATAGCACAGTGGTTAATGAAGCTGCATGCCTGAGGAACCATGGGCAATGGGTTTCATTCTATGCAGTCTTTAGCCTTTCTGTCTGGGTGAGAGACAGGCAATGCCATACAGCCTCAGTAGCTCAGCATATTCCAAGGTCCAAGCCCCATTGATAGTCAGTGATGGATCTGTCTGAAAGTTTTTAACCCTAATCTGTAACCAGACCAAAAAACTTCTTCTGAACATGTTGACAGTCAAGAAAAACTGTGCCCAAAATGTCAAAGAATAACTGTTGCATGGCTGGCTGGTTGTCATCAGATAATGCACATGATTTGGGTCTTCCACTTTGACATGCATGCTGACATATGCGCATTCAATAGATAATTTTTACAAGCAGTGTGTATTTTAATAAAATGTCATTTAAATAAACAGCAAAGCTTTAATGAAGTTATCCCTAGTTGAGAACACTCATTGTGCTGCCTATGCCTATGCCATCACTGAATAGGTAATGAAATATTCACTGCTAAATGAAATGGTTTGTTGCATAGAATTGAGGCAAGTAGTAGGGCACATAAATGTAACATCTAGTAGGCTTGGCATCATGGCTATTTTTAAAAGTAAGGGAGAGCCCTACAGTGAGCAGCTTCTCTTGGCTTGCTACAAAGAATGAGGCAGGTGGATTGGGCACATAATGTAAATCTAGGTAGGGTTGGATCATGACATTTCTAAAAAGTAATGAAGAGCCCTACAGTCAGCATCTTTTCTTGGCTGGGTGGCTCAATATCATGCTGGGTATTGAAGTGCACCATTATAAAAATTACAGAAACTTGAACTATATGTTCTGGGACCAATTTGGCCTTATATGTATTCCACAATTCGGGCAGAATGGGCTTGCATTTCTTCTCCTAATGTTTGTAATATGATGCACATTTTTTGCATTAACTCAGCTGATGGTAACTAGGCCCCAGTTTCCTGATCCCACCTCTGACCTCTCCACCCCCCCCCCCCCCCCCTCCCACCCTCTTCCACATCTCCAGGTCTCCATACTCCTCATTGCGTGTGCTTCTTAGCCAATATTTTTGTTAGTTATATTCACCAGCATTGCACCAGAGACCACTCCAACCGCACCACTCTGGCAGCGTAGACAAAGACAGACATGTATGTGCTCTGTCCACAGTAGGCTCATGGCTATTCAATTTCATCATCACAGCATTGAAATAAGGTGTCAATGACTATGAGTGCAAAGCTGGAACCATTATGTGGTCAGAGTAGACATTGAGGCGCTAGGTGGATTTCAGTGCACAGCCAAACCCACTAAGTCATGTGGGGTCACAGGTAAGGTAGTTATGCTGGTTAGCATGTGGGCAATACAGGTGTCCCATTCCCATCTCTGTGTAGAAGCAGGAATTTTCATCCTGTCATGTGAGGATGTAGGGTTTGGGATGCCTCCCAAAATTCACAGGCCAGCACTTCTGGTTTACCAGAGCTAGCACCTTTTGAAGAAGCAACACAACACAGTATTTGGTGAGGCTGTCTGCAGATAGCCAGCTGAGTTTTTCCAGCAAATCTGAAACATAGTAAACTTTTGTACTCATAGATCATGTTTGCTGCAGAGCTGATGACTTTTTGAAGCCAAGAAAACATGTTTGAGTACCATTCCCATAAACTGAAATGCAGTATCAGATCTGTGGGAGGACCAAGGCACTCATCAGCATGGAGACAACACTAGGGGCAAGTAGTTACTCAGATGTGCTAGGCTGTAGAGAGTGTGAAACTTAAGATGCTGTCAAACAATCACAATGTCAAGAGTACTGTCCTACCAGCAACAGTCAGTTGACTCTGGGTTTACATCTAGTGCCTGGTGATAGTTTCACAGCCCCTGGTGATAGTTTGTGGACACAGGGCATGCAACATGAAAGGAATTTTGCTCTGTCAGGGTGGAATGCAGCATGTGTGGGGTACCAGCTGCCTACGAGGTCCTCCCGGACATGGACGCCATATTACACTCACCACCCCACAAGACTCTAATTGCATCCCTACCATGGCCCTCCTGTTGAGCAGGTCACAAGAACCCCAGAGTGTTTGGGTCGCTCCCCAGCCTGAGTCATGCACAGAAAGGTGGTCTGCACCTATGTGGATGCTTCAGAGGATATGGCCGCCTCTTTGACCTGGGAAGTGTCAGATCCAGAAGATGGTGCATGTGATCCATCCTTCTACATTGGATGCCTTTGGTGGCAGGTTGTACTTGTCCAATCCCTGTGTGGCAGAACATGTGGAACTGTCTGCTGGCTAGAAGGGAGTAGTAGATGTTGTCTGGGTTTGTGGTCCTCAGAATAGAATAAGTAACATCACCTTTCAAAATCCTTTGCCCTTTCACATTCAGTTCATATACCAAATGCGTGTCAAATTGATGCTCATTTATGTAATGTTTTAGTCAGAGCAACGAATGGTCTTGGTGTAATTAAACCATAAGAAACCACTTAGCATGCTTTATAATCTGTAAGTGTTGACTTCTCTCCAACATATAGTTATCAGGCAAAAGATGAAAGGACTTCAGTTTCGGCCTGGGCGTGGCGAAGTCATGGTTTGCTCCAGTGGCTTCGGCTTTGGCTTCGGCTTTGAGCCATTTTTCACGGCTGGCTTCGGTTGCGACATTGGCGTCGTGCCGTTTTGAACAATTAGTTTCAGCTTTATCTTTGGCTTCGTCTCATTTCAGACAACTGGTTTCGGCCAAAACAAGCCTTTGATCATGAGTCCGGCCTCAGATCTATGCGGGCTTAAAATGTTGCGGATTTGACATGTTGATTATTCACTGCGTTTGTGACTTTACTTTACTAAAACAATGACCGGCTACCCCAGTGCACCACATAACTTCCCTAGGCTGGGACGCATGCACGAACAGAATCGCAAGCTGGTCGGTCATTCTCAGGACAAATTAACACCTGTTGACGGCGGCAGAACTAACTGTCCGAGGCGTACTGTGTGTACTGACACGCAGGACGAGAACGGTGGTCGGGAGACTTTCCATCCAGAATGCATATTGTCTCAGCCAGTTGTCAATCCGTCCTGTGTTAGTAATTCCGCAAAACAACTGGTATGTTTCTGAACCCCACGGGTTTGAACAGACGCGATTTTTTGTGCCGTGCAAAACGACACTGTACATTAGATTTGGCGTGGGCTTTGACCTCTTGATTTTAACTTGATGGTGGTTCGGCTTTGGCTTAGCGTTTCCAATGTACGAAGTCCCTGGCTTCGGCTTCGCGTTTACAAAGTTTTGAGCCGCTGGCTTTGTATTTGCTCGGCCGTTTTAAAAGTACGAAGCCGCTGGCTTCGGTTTTACAGTTCCAAACTTCGAAGCCACCGGCTTCGGATTCGACTTCGGTCACGAGCTGTACACTTAGGATTACTCTGATCATGAGATTATCCTTAGTAAGCGCAGATGTTTGGATTTTCTAACTGGGTGCAACGTTCCGTGCTCGGATTGATATATCAGGTCCCGTGCATGAGCATCGGCTTTTC